TTTTAAAACAAAGAACAAAGAAATTGGGCCTCAGTAAAAAATATAAAATACTTAAATGATTGACAAAAGAGAAGCCCTAGCAAAACAATTCTAAATGACCTGTTTTTTAAAAATTACCTTCTGTACCTGGCTGGTGTGGCTCAGTGGTTGAGCACTGACCTATGAGCCAGGAGAACACAGTTCAATTCCTGGTCAGGGTAAATGCCCGGGTTGCAGACTTCATCCCCAATGGGGGAAGTGCAGGAGGCAGCTGATCAATGCCTCTCTCTCCTTCTTTCTCTCTCTCGTGGATGTTTCTATCTTCTATCCTTCTCTGCTCCTCTCTAAAATCAATAAAAACATAAAAAAAGGGGGGGGGGGGACTGCTAAGTTTTCTCATTTTCTATGTCAGAAGATACTGACCCAAAGCAATTTAGAGCCAGGCTATTTTTTATAACTAATATTATAAAGTATAAGGCAAAATACTTATTCTGAAAATCTCAGATTTCTAGAATTATGGAGAAGCACTCATATGCATCAGAAAGTATGTCTGTTCAAAAGTAACAGTGAAAAAATTATAATAGTATAATAAAATGGAATAAAAATGACATTTTCATATTAAGTCCAATCTTATGCAAAAGGAATTTTGGGTACTTCTGGGTTCTTTTTAGGGATATACCATAACTGAGATTTGGAATGAAGTGCATCAAAGTTTGACAGAAGTTTGCCTTTAATAAATGATTGGGCTATTTACAATTAACATAAAAAGGGAAATTCAATGGTGATAAAAGGGGAACAGAATGGGAGCAGAAGTGGCTTCTGAGGTTTAACACTGGATCAATTCAACAACATAGAAACTTAGAATTAAAGTCTAATGTATTAATAACTTGCCTGGCTCATCTATTTGGGGAGGATGTATTGATGTTGAGAACTATTATAACACAAAGGATTTAAAACCTAGACATCATACCATGATTTGTATTGAGTAATAAATTCAAGATGAAGATGTGGTACATGACTAAAGTGTATAATCTGTCACTTAGTCATAAAGTACAAGATTTATGGTAATGTTAAGACTTTGAAAGGTGAAAATATAAGAACAGTTATAGTTTACATGCTAAAGGTTTTCATGAGAAAATTAAGGACAATCAAATAGCAATATTTAAATTCTAGAGGACTTTGAAAACACATAAAGAACAACAGAAGGTGATAACTATCAGGAGACTAATCAAAAGCCATGCCAGTTTGACATCTTTAAGAAAAAATTAATAAGCCATGGCCAGTGTGGCTCAGCTGGTTGGAGCATCATCCCATATACTGAAAGGTTGCAGATTCAATTCTGGATCAGGGCACATTCCCAAGGTGAAGGTTCCATCCCCCCGGGGGCATGTATAATACAAAAGGCCACCAATCAATGTTTCTCTCTCACATCGATGTTCTCTTTCTCTCCCCCCACCTCCCTTCCCTCTAAGATCAATAACCATATCCTGGTTGAGGATTTTAAAAAATAATAAAAGAAAAAAATGAAAAAGGTATGGTCCTTAATTTTTAAGAACTTAGAGTCTTTTAGTGAGATTTAGATGAGAGAATAATCTGATTATCAATAAGTACACTTTCCCGGGATAATATTAACATTACTATTACAAATTATCAAGGATGCGACCTTCTAGAAATTGTGACACTGCTAGCATACAGGGCTTTATGGAAATTACAGAGGATAGGGCTAAATGCCATAATATATAAAGGGGTTTGTTTAATCATGTGCTTATTAACAGGTAAAATCTCTTTGGGAACACTAACTCATGTAAGTTCCTATATGTGGGGATCAGAAAAAGGTATATGGGGACCAGATATGCTGTCTCCATACTCTTCTTCAGGACTACGCTCAAATTAAAAATGAGTGAGTACATGCATTAAATGGAAAAATAGAGAAAAAAAATTTAATTACACGTTTAAAAATTTTTAAACTCATCCCTCTCCCAATCAAAACACTTTGAGCTTGAAGTATGCTTGAAGCAAAATAAATATTATTCCAATAAGTCCATACAGTGAAATTTGCCTGTGTAGGCCAAGGCAGCTTCAAAGAGGCAAATTTAGCTTATGGGAGCCCACCAAATTCGTATATGTGTGAATTCGTCAATCAACTTGCTTACTAAACTTACCAGTTTCTTAGCTTCTGCTCCACTCTTTATTTTGTCTGGGTACTTTGCTATCACAGATGCTGCTTTCCTATAAGAAAAAAAGAAATTAGAAATCCAGTAAGGACTTAATTTTTCTTAAACTGGAATACACATACAAGCAAATATGCAGCTTAAACTTTCATTGAGATAATTCATTTTCCATATCTATAAAACACACACAGAGATGAGTTGAAACCACATACCTCTCTATTAGAGATATATCTTGAAAATACTCACAACTGAGACCTCAAAATTACAACTAAATTATAGAACAACTATAAAAAAGAATCAGTCAGAAATAAAGGATACACTAACTGAAATAAAGAATAACTTACAGGGAATCAACAGTATAGTAGATGAAGCCAAAAATCGAATCAGCAATTTGGAATATAAGGAAGCAAAAAATACCCAATCAGAACAGCAAAATGAAAAAAGAATCCAAAAAGTGAGGATAGTGTAAGCAGCCTCTGGGGCAACTTCAAGCACACCAACATTTATGTCATGGGGGTGCCAGAAGAAGAAGAGAGCAAGAAGTTGAAAAACTATTTTTTTAAAAATGATAGGAAACTTCCCTAACCCGGTAAATAAACATATAAGTTCAGGTACACAGAGAGTCCCAAATAAGATAATCCCAAAGATGCCCACCCCCAAGACACATCACAATTAAGATGCCAAAAGATAAAGAGAAAATCATAAGAGCAGCAAAAGAAAAGCAGTTAGTGACCAACAAGGGAGCTCCTGTAAGACTGTGAGCTGATTTCTCAACAGAAACTTTGCAGGCCAGAAAGGAGTGGCAAGAAATACTCAAAGTGATGAAAAGCAAGGTCCTACTCTACCCAGCAAAACTATCAATTAGAATCAAAGGACAAGACTAAACATTTTCTCTCTGAAGCCTGCTGTGACTCAAATTATAGGTTTGAAAATATCTCTTGACTACTACATCATCAAATGTGCGGATGATAGGACAATTACTTTCTATGGGAAGCCATAGGAGGTAAAGTAGAAGAGTATAATTCTTTTTAGATTATGCTGGCTGGGAAGGGAAGGAGGAAGTTGAGTTCACTTTTGGAAAAGTAAAGATCAAGGGGATGCAGATGTAAAAAATCTGGAAAAAAGCCCAGTGCGATACATATTTGGAGTCACTGACATAACCAGTATACAAAGCCACTAAGAATGATAAGATTGCCAAGAAAGTGAGAGGAGAGTCTGAGGGCAGATCTCTAGGCACTGCCATTTTAACACAGAAGACAAGAGGTGAAAGAACAGATGGTTGTGCTGTCACAGAAGTCAAGGGTAAGAATGACTTCTGAATAGAATGAATAGAATGAGCTAGTAGTGGATGTCACTGAGAATCTGATAAGATGTAGGTGAGGGCATTTTCCGAGGTTCGGCAGAACGGAAATCCTACTGCAATGAGAATAAGAAGGCCAGGCCAAGAACACAGATCCCTCAAGGTTAACTGTCAAGTGGAAGAGAGAGATAAGGTCCAAGTCAGAGGGGCGTGAAGAAGATTGCTTTGTTTTTTGCTTTGAAGAGCTGAGGGATTAGGATGTGTTTATAGGCTAAGGATCAGAAGCAAGTGGAATAATGTCTAGAAAAAGGCCCCCAGTGAGACGAACAAGGATGGGATCCAAAAAGGTGACAGGATAAGTAAGGCACAGACGAACCAGAGGGGAAAATGTGTTTCCTTGAACCACATCTATTTCACAGCACAGTCCTCCTCCACTGTCTTTCATGTACGTGAAAGGCAAACTGGGTCTTCAGCAATTCATGGTTAAATCCGAGCTGGACTGAACTGATCTTACAGAGCTCTGCCCAAGTTCTGATATTGCAGTAAGGTACCACTAGCCAGTGCCTTCAGTCTTTGTTTTTGTTTTTTGTGTTTTTTTTTTCTCCTCTTGCAGATGGCCCGAATACACACGGGCCCCTCCACCCTGTTCATGGCCACACATCCCGGAGGGGAGGGCAAGTGTAGTCCCCAGAGAGCGCGGCAGGCGCCGTCCCACCTATAAGCGTTGTACTTGTGGATCGCCTGGTTCACGTTCTTCTCAAAGTTGGCGAGTTCTGAAAAAGGCAACAGGAGGCTCCGGGTGAGCAAGAACCACGAGTGTAAACAAACGAGAGCCGAGTTTCCCGAAAGGGGAAGTGACAGCCTCTAATCTTCCAGGGCGGGGACCCACCCCTGCTCCGCGGGCCGAGCCCACAGCAGCCCCGGCGGTGACCAGACGTCCCGACTTTTAACCATTTAACCATTAATCAAATCTTTCCAAAAATCGAGACTTTTTTAAAACGACGCGGGACAAATTGTTAAAAATCGTAAAGATTCAAATCTTTCCAAAAATCGAGACTCCTTTAAAACGCCGCGGGACGCGGGACAAATGGTTAAAAATCGGGACTGTCCCGCCGAAAGCGGGACGCCCGGTCCCAGCAGCGCTGACGGACCGCCGGCCGCGGGCGCGGAAAGCAGATCCGCACGGAGGCTCCCCGCTGCGAGGCGCCGATCCTCTCCCCCGGGCCGGGCTGTCGGGCCGGGAAAGGGAGCAGGGGAAGGCCATGGGGAGGCAGGAACGGAGAAAGCCAGCGGCCCCCCCGGCGCCCGGCTCACCTGTGAGCATGTCGGTGATCCCCCCGTTGAGCGTCTCCTGCGGCGCTTTCCGTTTGCTCATGGCGGCCGGCACCTGAGAGCCTGAGTGCGCTGAGCCGGGCGCGGGACCCTCGCCCCGCTGGAAGGGGGACAGGGACGCGGAGAGGTGGGTAGGACCGGCCCAGCCCCCGGACAGGCAGCCGCGACCGGCGGAACAATGGCTGCCACTGACAGGAGGCGCGGCGCTCGGCGCACGGCGCGCGTGGTGACGTCACGCAGAGGGGCGTGGCCTGGCGGGCCGGAAGGGGACCGAGCATCTTCTGCGAGAGGGACCGAGCCGGTAGGGAGGCGGCACCTGAAGCTCCGGTTTGGCCGGAGGAAAGCGGACACACGCCCCAGCGTTACATCCCCATGGGGTTTCTGTGGGAAGACCTGGATTCCCAACCTAAGGCGTTTCTGTTTTCTCCGTACGTACCTCTGAAGTGCTCTCCCTAAAAGGGGAAACAGAGGAGCCCGATGTTTCACTCTGAGGTCAAAACTTAAGGTGGTGGGGGGGACATCAGGTGGTTGGATGGGAGACAGAATGCTGAATTCTGCTCTGTACACGTTTTAGGTGTGCACAATAATAGTTATTGAATCCATGACGCGTTTTGTATGGGATGAGGCGACGCCACCAGGGGGATACTGTCAAAACTTTACATGACCTCACTCATTTATGAATAATAACATTATAAACTGATGAACCAAGAGATATAAAGAGACAGTAAAGCAACAAGCAGACTGTCAAATTACAGCGGGAAGGGGAGGGAGATCTGGGGGAGATACGAGATCAACTGAAGGACTTGTATACATGCATATAAGTACAACCAATGGACACAAAACTCTGGGGAGGGAAGGTATGTATGGAAGTAGGGGGGGCAATGGTAAGATATGTACACAGATAATAATTTAATTAAAAAAAAAACTTTCTGTAAGAACACGGTGCAGTCCTCACTGAAATGGTGTTCTGTACTAGGTGAAGCAGGAGCCCAGGATGAAATATGCCGATAATAGGAAAGCCTCCTTTATGAAATTTTTTTAACAGATATGCCAACCAATGTCAAAAGACATTTTATTTTTTATTCCCCTGCCTTTTGTAGTAGGAGCTAAGGGGGTGGGGGAAAAACACACAAAATGAGCAATGAAACTGCCATTACAACATGATAACCTGCATCTCATAAATGTATAAGTTCTGCTTGAGAAGTGAAAATGTGACATCAGCAATATTTTACAAGTGTTAACTCCTGGGGTTCATACTGCCAAATTCCAGGCAATTGCTTTGTAAGTAAAATTAAAAGCTTATTACAAAATGATAAATGGTTGCTGTAGAAAAATCAGGGGGGGGGGGGAGTATAAAAGGAGAAAAGAAAAAAATCAGTGAATGTCTCACCACTTATCTTTACTATTAATATTTTGTGACATGTTTCCAAATCTTCTAATCCAGTCCTTTAAAAATTCCCATTTTTTTAAATAATGGAATGCTTTAGATATATTTCCTTCATTAGGTTGTATAAGTGTGTTCGTTTGTTTTTTGTTATTTATTAATATTTTTTTTTTACAATATCAGTGTACATCTTAGGTTATACTTATTGGTCATTTGTATTGGTCATTTGTATTTCTTCTTTTGTGAATTTCCTATTTATATCCATTTTTCTAATAAGGTATTGCCTAGTGTTAATTTGCTAGATTTTAAAAATATTACTACTAACCCTTCTGCACAGCTTTGTATGGTTTTTGTAAATATTTGCATTTGCCTTTAATCCCTTGCCTTTTAACTTTATTCTGAAGCTTTTTACCACTTTGATTCCAACCTTCAATTAGAAGTGAGTCATCTCGTTTTCTGCATAACCCTTCTTTTTGGCACTGAGTTTGTGGACATCTCCTGCGCACTATGCCTAAAGTTGTGTCCCGGTCAGTTGTCTGCTCCTACACCCGAGACCGGGAGGAATACGAGGACGGCGAGAAGCCCCTCCACATCTACTACTGTTTGTGTGGCCAGATGGTTCTGGTGCTGGACTGTCAGCTGGAGAAATTGCCCATGAGGCCCAGGGATCAGTCCCGGGTGATCGATGCTGCCAAACACGCCCACAAGTTTTGTAACACGGAAGACCAGGAGACTACGTACCTCCGCAGGCCGGAAGGCATTGAACGGCAGTACAGAAAGAAGTGTGCCAAGTGCGGACTGCCGCTCTTCTACCAGTCCCAGCCAAAGAATGCTCCTGTGACCTTTATTGTGGATGGAGCAGTAGTCAAGTTTGGCCAGGGTTTTGGGAAAATGAATATGTATCCTCCGAAGCGAGAGCCTCCCAAGAAGGTGATGGTGACCAAACGAACGAAAGACATGGGCAAGTTCAGTTCTGTCACTGTGTCGACTATTGATGAAGAGGAAGAGGAGATTGAGGCCAGGGAGGTGGCTGACTCGTATGCACAGAATGCCAAAGTGATTGAAAAACAGCTGGAGCGCAAAGGCCTGAGCAAAAGGCGGCTGCAGGAGCTGGCTGAGCTAGAAGCCAACAAAGCGAAAATGAAGGGGACTTTGATTGACAACCAGTTCAAATGATCAGGACCGTTCTCTGAACCCAGACTAAAGGCAAGCATGTAGACCAGGAGGCAAACGAACTTTTTCTTGACTGCATGGACTGGTTCCTACCTTTCTGCCCCAGCAAAAGGCCTGATGTTGCTTCCTATATTCAATGAGGTCTTTGAATCCATCTGACCTACTTTCTAGAAATGAATTTTTTAAATACATGGGTCTTCCGTACTATTTTTTTTTTTTTTTTTTGTTTTGTCCATTTGATGTCAACTTCTTTAGTTGTATAGAAACTCCATGAGTAGTCTAGTGCTTGAGTGGCTTTAGTTTCTAAAGTACAATAGCTGTTCTTCAATAAAATATTTAAAGATTTTTTTGGGGGGGGGAATGAGTCATATTAGTTTTTTTCCATTCATTTTCCTATCCATCTCTATTCTAGTCTATAGTCATATTATTTTTTTCTGAAGAATGGTCATTCTTCTTTAAATATTTTATTGACCTCTGAATAATGAGCATTACAACTTTAGGGAATTGTGGGACCATTTTTTTTATATGAGTATTATGCCAACTTTAAAAATAATCAGTGCCAGAATATCAAGGGAAATGGTCAATTATCTGTCCTCGTCCTCTTGGACCAACCATTAACATTTGACGCACTTAACCACTTGCTTCTTGAAATAGTTTTCAATTGGCTTCTAAAATAGCACATGCTCTGCATTTCCCTTCTTCCTTATTCTTCTGAAGTAGCCACTCCTCAAGTTTGTTGGTTTTTGTGAGTGTTGGTTCCCAGTTCCTCCACTCTCCAAACTAAATGGGAAAGTACCTCAGGCCTTAATCTTCTGGGCCTTTACATCCCCACCTTGTCCAGTTTTATATCCCCATCTTGCTCAGTTTTAGATCCCCACCTTATCCAGTTTCACCTTTTAAAATACAATGGCTAGCTTGAAGATTCCTAAATTTGTATTTCTCTTGAACTCTAGTCCCATGTATCAGACTGCCTACGGGTTATCTCTAATTGTCCATAATAGGCATCTCAAAGATAAAATGTCCTATAGAATTCTTGATTCTTGCCCCACTAGCTTCTCAACTTTTCCCTGTCTCAAGTTAATGACACTTTTAAAAAATATATATTTTATTGATTTTTTTACAGAGAGGAAGGGAGAGGGTTAGAAAGTTAGAAACATCAATGAGAGAGAAACATTGATCAGCTGCCTCTTGCACCCCCCCCCCCCCACTGGGGATGTGCCCACAACCAAGGTACATGGCCTTGACTGGAATCGAACCTGGGACCTTTCAGTTTGCAGGTCAACGCTCTATCCACTGAGCCAAACCAGTTTCGGCTAATGACACTTTTTAAAAAATTTATTGAGATGTTGATTTCAAGTGTGAAGTTCTATGATACATGATCTATATATTGCATTGTGTGTCCACCACCCCAAGTCAAATCATATTCCAACACTATATATTTGGGCCTCTTTGCTCTATAATGTCTGCCTACCCCCTTCTCTCAGGTAACCACCATACCATTGTCTATGAGTTTCAGTTTTATATCCCACATATAAGTGAAATCATATGGCTCTTAACTTTTTCCGACTTATTTTGCTTAGCATAATATCCTCAAAAGTCCATGTTGTCACAAAAGGTAGTGTTTCATCTTATGGCTGAATAGTATTCCATAGTATATATGTACCACATCTTCTTTATCCAGTCATCTATTGAAAGACACCAATTGTTTCCGTATTTGACCGCTGTGAATGGACACAGGGATGCATATATCTCTGCAAATAAATGTTTTCGAGTTTTTCCAGTATAAATCCAGAAAAGGTATTGCTGGATCATATGGTAGCTCTATTTTTAATTTTTAAAGGAACCGCCATACTATTTTCCATAGTGGCTGTATCAATTTACATTCCCACCAGCAGTGAATGAGGGCTCTTTTTTCTCCACAATCTCTCCAACACTTATTACTTGTCTTGTTGAAAATAGCCATTCTCACAGGTGGTAGTTACCTCATTGTAGTTTTGATTTGCATTTTCCGAATAGCTAGTGAAGTTAAACATCTCTTCATATATCTTTTGGGCATTTGTATGTCTTCTTGGGAGAAGTGTCTGTTGAGGTTCTCTGCCCATTTTGTAATTGGATTGTTTGGTGTTGAGTTGTATGAGTTCTTTATATATTTTGGATATTAACCCCTTGTTAAAGCTATTGTTTGAAAATATTATCTCCTATTCAGTTGGTTACCTTTTTAGATAACGACACTTTAATCTACCCTGCGATCAGGCAAAAACCCAAGAGTCATTCTTAATTGTGCTTTTCCCACCGCACATCCAATCTGTCAGCAAGTTTTGTCTCATCTGTCTCTAGAATATATATTCTCAACTGGATTACCTCTCACCACTTCTACTGCCACTGCCCTAGTGCACTCTACTATGATCTCAATCCTCAGTTACTGCCGTAGCCTCCTCAATGGGCTTCTTGCTTCTGTTCTTGTTCCCTCCAAATAGGACAAGAGTGATTCTTTTTTAAAAAATGTGTATCAGATTATATCGTTCATTTTCTTAAATACCTTCTCATTGCACTTAAAATAAAATCCACAGTCCTCCACTGGCCAGTGTGGCTCAGTTGGTTGGAGCGTCAATTTGTACACCAAAAGGTGGCAGTCAGAGCATATACCCTGGTTACAGGTTTGATCCCCAGTTGGGGCATGTGTGGGAAATAACTGATCGATGTCTCTCTCACATCAGTGTTTCTCCATCTATCGCCCTTTCTCTACAATCAATTTTTTTTTTTTAAACCCCACACTCCTTTCCATTGCCTAATGTGATCTATCTTCTACCATCTCTCCTACTTCCCAATTTCCCTTTGTTTACTACTCAGATGCACCTGCTTCAAGGATCTTCTTTCATTGTTCAGGCCTTGGCCTGGCTGCCTTCTTCTCATCATTCATATCTTAGAACAACAGTCACCTCCTTGTCACATTCCTGAATAACACTATGCACTCTATCCATTATGTTTTATTTTCTTCATAGCATTGAAACTATTTGAAACTTACATGTGTTACTTGCCTATTATCGAATCCTTACTCTACCCCTTTTCCCATCAATGTAACCTTCATCAAAGTAAGTAGTTAATTCTTGTTTGCCACATAGAGGTGCTCAATAGGTACTTGTTGAATTCCTAACTGCAATTTTGCTGAAGTAAATTGTCAAATACTTTGAATTACACAGGATATGGACACATCATGATGTAGGATGATTTATCATCCTGGGTTGACAGGGACTGAGAAGTTTACTGGGATACAGAACTTTTGGGCTAAAACTGCTATGGCACTGTCTCATCCAGGTACTATTCCATTGAGTTGATTATGAATTCGTAAGTTCTAACCAGAGGATTGTAGAAACCCAGAATAAGTGTTGAATCATTTCACAAGAAATAGAAACTTTTTTTTTAAATAAATCAATTTAATAATACTGCTAGATGACACAAGAGGCAGGAACTCCCCGTCCCACCTCCACCACACACAGATGTGTCGGAGCAAGGACAGAGGTGTGAGCATTGTGTTCAGCAGGCCAATGGTTAAGAAGTAACCTTTTCTTCTCTCCTCCTTCTCCATGGCAACTCACTCCCAAGTAATCTTTGGGGCCCAAAGAAAGGAGTTTCTTTGCCATCCTGTCTCCAGTGGCTAAAAGACATGGGAGCCGAAGGGAGGATAACCACCACAGTGTAGGTAAAAAGACGATTTTAGCAGCAGTGAAATGAAAAGAAGAGAAGGGATGGGACCAGGCCAAGTCCATGACTTAAAAGTCTGTTCAAGAGAAACCAAATCCAATTAACTGTGAGGACACGTGGGTCATGGCCTCTGAAGATCAGGAGGGGTCAGGAGAGGATAGGTTGGCATCAAGGGCTGCTCAGACTTTGCCCTGGAATATTCATGTTAGACATTTGTCCAGTGGTCTGTGGTGCAACAGTACTTGAGCACTTTTTTCAGAGCAGAGGAAGGAGCCTCTGTGGTTTGGTCTCCTTCATGCTCCTGCCTGGCACCCATGCTTGCTGGGCCTCTGTGAAGGAGGACTTCCAGTGTCCTGACGAGTTGCTGGCAGTGCCAACGGAGGGCCACACCCTTGGTCCACGGTCAATGCCACAGCGATTGGGGAAGTAAGAAAATCTCCATCTGGGTGCCGAAGACTGCTGGGACATCAGTAGAGCAGGGCACATACCTGGGAGAGCCTCAGGCCAGGCAGCCCCATCAGGTGGTCAAGGCCACCCACACAGTCAGGAGGCCTGCTCCAAGCTATTCTGCTCTTCTTCCTCCGTCTGTAACCAGCTCCAGTCTAGAGACTGAAAGTCAACAGGCAGGTTAAAAATACACCTCAGGGGGTGGTTGTTTTTCCAGGAGGCAACCAGCACAATTTAAAAGGACATTTAAACCCTCTCATTAATGATAGTTATTGCAGGATACCCTTGAGCTAAAGAAACATTCAAAACCATTTAGAATCTTTTCTTTGGACTGGCTAGGAGTCCCTGAGATTCCTGGCCTTCTGGAAATTAGAAAAGCAATTTTAGTATTACTTGTACTCACAGTGCTTATTTATGCCCACTGTGGGTAGGTGGTACCAAGAGCATTTCAGGTGGAGCAAAAGCACATGCAGAGGCCCTAGGATATAGCACAGGAGTACAGGAGTATCCTGGCTGAGTACAGCATCATCTAGGAGCAGAGCAAATCTCAGCTATTGATTTCCAGCCTCACCAAATGAAATGCTCTAGTAAGACTTCCTTTTCCTCTGGCAGAAATGCAAATTAGCAGTGAAAGGGTTAAACATACAGTCTCAGGAGGAGGAACAGTAGCAACAACAGACATAGAAAGCCCCCAAACCAGAGAACACTTAAATAAATACCAGATCATTACAATTAATGGTGTCCCCTCTGATTATTCTGAAAACTAAGACATTCGAGGAAGGCTAGTAGGTGATTGTACTGGCAGGAAAAGCCCATTTAAAGATCTGCGGGAATGATTTAGAATCCTTGAAGTAATGTTAGTTTTATCCTAATGTATCTGTATGTTGACTAGTTTTTCTATAACTAGTGCTACCTACTGCTTAAGCTCTGAGTCCCTGAGAAGTGGGACCATGACAGGTTCTTGCTTTATCCCTGAAGTTCAGCACAGCATCCACAACACACAAATGTTCAGCAATGGGACAAAAGTTGATGG